TCCCTTGCCTCCAGAGACGTGTTGAGTAAGAAGTTGCTGCGGCCGAGGTCAAAGAGGTTTTTTGCAGGCATGTTTTTAAGCTGGTACTTCCTTTCCTATACCCTTTGATGGCCATTTTATTTTATTTTTAGGAGATAAACTAGGATAGATTGCCCCAAATATAGTAATGACATCCCTGAATCATGGTGCCTTGATTAATTAATGCTGGAGAGTTAGGCACATACACAGGTCACATTCTGGGCCTTCAAAACCACTCCATACAAACTCAGCATTTCACATCTAGACAATCTTCTTACTCTTCAATTGGGCTCCTTGGTAACTCATACCAGCTTTCTCAGTTAGCTCATTGAGCAGGTGAACTTACTCTACTGAAATTTATTTTAGCATACATTTGCCATATGCTACGGACATTTTTGATTCACAAATTGAGATATAAGTTAGGATTAGGTTTTACACAAGTACCATAAAACCTGATGAGTGAGGACTTACGCAAAGGAGGAGCTTATTTACCCCATGTGAAACAAAGTCTAGGTTTAAGCAAATCAGGGCTCAGACAGCATCTTAGAAAGCCAGCAAGGGACTAGGCTCTTTCTCGTCCTGCTCCATCATCCTCAGAATGACTGATGTACCTTCAGCATCAAGCTCTAATTCTGGTCAGGAAGAAAGAGGAAATGGAAGAAGAATAACAAGCTAACTTCAACTCATGTCTTAGTCACCAGATCTCTCATGGACTCACCTAGCTGCAAGGGACTCTAGAAAGATAACTTGTAGCATTCTAGCTTCTATGGTAGGGAGGCAGGGAAGGGAGGGTCTTGAGTGAGACTGTTTACACTGTGTACCTAGTAGGCTTGTGCTTTCTGGCATCTGGTCTTACTCATCTGGTCTTCCGACTTTTTTTTTTGTCATTGATCACTGGGAGACCAGAGCTACTACCTCCCCTTCTGCTGCTGAGATGGGGCAATGAAGACCAAGATGTAAACAGTCTTTGTGTTTCACTTAGAATTTTTCCTAAATAACAGAATGAGCACAATGATCAGAAAGCCTGCATTTCAGTCTTGTGTTATTTATCCTAAACTGTCTCATCACTTCACCTCTAAGTCCTAGTCTCCCATTGATCGAAGAGAGGAATTGGGGTTCAACCTTCCATTCTTCCTCGCATAAGACTGCAAATGCCCATTATGAAACCAGCTCTCCCCCACATTACCATGAGGACTTGCAGAAGCCTGGTCAAGATAGGAGGCCTCATCGTGCTGCCCGTCATCCTAATGTCCTCTATCTCCCAACCATCTATTAGGATCTCCCAGCATTTGGTCAAGGAAAACTGTGAGGTGTTTAATAAGAAAATAGGGCTTGTGTCATGAACTATATTTCTCATTGCCCCTGTGTGACTTGTGCTTTAAAAGTATGAACTAGTCTAGTCTTCCTTATTAGAAATTCAAGCCCCTCTTCAGATAGTTGTGACTTCTCTGAGATCACAAGAATAACCAAGAGGTCAAGCCACTGATATGGTATTATCTACCAGCTTTTCATTACCTCATGGCCGAGCATGTTCCAAAAGGTTGCCTTAGAGTCAGAGCCTCCACTCTTGACATAAGAAGCCTTTTGTAGGTCTGCACCTGTAAGCATAGCCTCTACTTCAATCTGTGAAATATTGCTGAAGATAGAGGTGCCCAACTATGCAAATAAATGTAACTACTATAAGTCCTCTAAATAACTTGGCACCCATCTAGGGGCATGAGGCTTGTGGTGAATGTTCAGATATTTTCCACAAAGATTGTCACTGATTTTTTGTTTCAACTTCATTCAGCCCAGGTGTTTTTCACTTTGTAACTAGTTTACCTATATAACAGGTATAAAGCTGTTGGTCACATAAATTCTGTTTAGTGCAACTTAGTCAGAGGGTAGGCTTTAGTCAGCAAGTCCCTTCTGACCACAACTATCCTGTAAGAAGTTCAAGCCCTCTCTTCTTCTATTTATTTATTTATTTATTTATTTATTTATTTATTTATTTATTTATTTCTAGGAGAGATAGAGAGACAGCGTGAGCAGGGGAGGATCAGAGAGAGAGGGAATCACAGACTGAAACAGGCTCCAGGCTCTGAGCTGGCAGTCAGCACAGAGCCCGACGCGGGGCTCGAATCCACAACCGCGAGATCATGACCTAAGCGAAAGTTGGACGCTTAACCGACTAAGCCACCCAGGCGCCCCTCAAGCCCTCTCTTCTCACAAGTAGTCCATAAGAGAAGGCACGCATGCAAGGCACATTATTGTGGGACTGATCAGAGCCTGTGTCTCCAAACACAATGGGTCCCACCTGACTCTGCGGGTGGGATAGGAGGGTCCTCTTCAGCCATGGCTTCAGGGACAGCTCTGAGACTCTCCTAGAACATTCTGACTTCCTCAAAATAGGTGGCTCCACCCTTTCCTCTCTAGCCTATTATGTTTATCTAGAATTTTCCATGGCATGAGGGGAGAAGTCAGGAGGTGGGATAGATCAGACTCCTCTGATACTATACATCTGAAAATTTTAGTTTCATGCTGCCTTTGTTTTTGTCTGACAGGCTGAAGAACAGAGAAGAAAGGTGATCCTAGCAAGGCTCTTGATAAGGGGCTCATGGGTAGAATTCAGGATGTCTATGAAATTGAATGAAAAAAATATGCCCTTGTGGTCACTACTCTAGCTAAAGTTTAGTATTTCCTTCATTTATGAGAGTGGAAATGATCACAGCCATGTTATCATTTCCTCTGACTGGAACATCAATAGACATTACAATAAGTGTCACATCACATTGAGGATGAGGCAGAAACCTTAAAACAGCACTACACTCATGAACCTTCGAAAGTATGCTGATTTTTAGATCCACTACTAGATCTTATTAATGGTCATTAATGCATTAATAATGAAGTGTATATTTAATTATATCACATTCAAATACTTAACATCTGTATTTCGATATTAAACTTTTCTTTGTAATCCTATGTTTTTGTTATGCATTTAAAAACATTTTTCTAAGGAAGGATTTCATGGCACAAAAATAAGTTATAGGATCCCTGCCCTGGAGATACAATTTGTAGAACACATATTGAACACTGATGGAGGAAAAATGCACTTTAAATCTGATTTAAATCTGATACAGATTTGTCCGCTAACTACAGTACAACAGAACTAAAAGTAAGCCAGTGTGCAAAAAATATTTTAATCTAACTATACTACTCCTGACCTCCTTAGCATGTGGATATAAATGGGGTCATATTAATACTTACAACTGCATTTCCTTTGCACCTACCACCTAATGTCATGTCTCCCGCTTTCCCCCATATCTCTGTCTTTATACAAATTCCTGAAAGTGTCTAATGTGAGTTCATCCACAGTCTTCTCATATTCTTCCTCTTTCACTCTTGTTCAAATCTATGCCCCAGAAGCCTATGGGTGGGGAGGGGGGAGGATGGTCCATCACCACCCCCTCAACACTCTGGGTACCTCCTTTGAGACAAAAGATTGTCTCCTAAAGTTCCTAAGTCACAAATCCCCATTTGGATAGGGAAGTGCCACATTCCTTGAAACTCTCCACCTTACTTCAGTGAAGGAGGGAACATAGTTCCTTCCTCACTCTATACCCAGCTCCAGAAGTTAGGTCTTCCTTGACTCAAAGAGTCAATTTGGGGATTAGGGATTAACAGAATGGGGAAGAACTAGACGAGGAATGGGATATATCCCTTGTGAAAGGTCTGAATCGTAAAAAGTTTCTCAGACCTGAGTCCAAGCGCAGGGCTCCAGGAAACCACATGCCAGACATGACCCTGTTCAATTCCCCACCTCCTTTCTTCTCATTTCAGTTCACAATCCTCTTCTCCGTGAGCCCCAAATGATGAATTAACTTGTTCACATGGATTCTTGACAGGCCTGCTGCCCGCCTGATCCATTAGACCCACTAATATCTAAACCAGCAAACCTCGTTTGCTAAACGTTTCTCCTCTGCCCCTCCGGACCCACCTTTACATTTTCTAGAAACCCTGCTTTATGCCCAGGGAGCCTGAACATCATACATGGCATCAACATCCTTTGGCTTCTGACAGAAGATGGCTCAGCCATTGGGAAGTACTATCAGGAGATAACAGGGTGAGGAAGAAGCAGCCAGTGTCTATTTCCTCCAGTTTGCTCCTTGCCCAGTCACCATGAGCTGCAGACACCTCTACTGAAGACATGGCATCTATTAAGTAGCCTTCTCTTAGATCTACAGGTACTTTCTCTGGGTTCTGGTAATAACTCCTTTCTCTTGCCCTGTGGCCTACTGGGTAAGAGCCTTCGCTGTTGCTGGCCTTGGAGCACTAGCCCTTGTTTCACTTTACCCTGCCTGCACCTGTCTAAGCAGTTCCTCTACTGAGCTCTCCTCCATTCCCCATGTGAGTATGCTGCCTGCTGCTGAGATCCCGACGGATCCACCTGCCTACATCACCTCAGCTGCAAATTTTAAACTTTCCATCTTGTCCCTGTTGTGTAGGAGGAAAACAAAAGAAAACAATATTGCCAGTTCTGTGATGGTGCTCTGTCCTGCATGATCTATGTCGCAGTCAAAAGACAAGGCACTGGCAGTACATCTCCTGCCCAGCGACCTGTAAGCATGAGCCAGGGAGCCCCTGTGCAGAGACTGACTCCTGGCTGTGAGCCCCAGTGACAACTATGCAGAGTTTTCTGTATCCTTTATCTTCCTCTCGGTGCAGGCTTGCCAGCGTGGAAAGGATTGAGCTAGACCTCTAACAACAGCTCTGACTGCTGAGATCGAAGTAGGAAAATTGGAGAGAATAAAAAAACAGATTATAACATCACCAGAAATGGGGCACTAGGCCAGGAAAGAGCCTACTCAATATTGTGGGAATGATGTTCCCAGAACCTAAGACTGGAGAAGACTTTAGAATTTGTGTGCTTGAGTCAATCCCAGCAAATGGTCCTGCTGCTCAGATAAGCTTATTTCTGGAACTGCATTTCATGAATCACTTACCTTTGAGAAATCTGGTTGCAAAAGTGGCCATTTCTGTCATCATTCCCGTTCTTGTGCATTATGGACACCCTCACTGCAGGAAAGACATTGTGATCGCTGCTCCCACGGGGGTAGAAATAATGTAGCGAAAATGTAGTGCTGCCCAGATGGACTCTGGTGTCACTGATCAAGTGAAAACAGTAATGCCTGAAGCAAAACAGACGGAGGGGGCACCAAGAATAAACATTTATTTCAAAGCAGTAGTCTTTATGAAATATGCATGATATGGCTAGCTGGCGGTATAATGACTGTTAAAATATTTCTCCGCCTATTTGCAAATCCATCAATCACATTATGAAGTGGCACTGTGTGCGATACAAAAAGGAATAACAATTAACTGAAGTCCACTGTGTATTAATCACTGTACTTGAACACATCCAATTTTAATGACAGCACTACGAGATAAATGTTATTATCCCCATTTTCCTGAAAAGGAAACAAACTCAGAAAGCTTATAGAATCTGCCCAAGTGCACATAATAAGGGACAGCACAGGGATCCAACTGTAAGCCTTAAGCTAAAGTGAGTGATTGGACCTCCTGGCTATATATTTGAGAAAACAGGACTGAGTACACCTTTATATTCATGTACAAAATGTATCGTCACTATAAAATATGACTGAGGCAATACAAGGTCCAAATGACATGTGAGGAAAATAAGTTTCAGGCTACTCAGGAGGAGAGGGAGTTCTTGCTTCTGAGGCAGCCAACAGGGATATGAGATTTGATTTCGACTTGGAATAATGAAGAAGGTTTGGAAGATGGGGCAAGTGGTGAAGGTCAACTCACAGGCATGGAAAAGTACCAGTTTTGAGCAAGTATGGCAACTTGGCTGGGGGCAAGGGTTCACACAAGGAAGTAACAGGAAATTAAGCTGGAGAAGAAGACCCAGAGATCAGCTAGGAGGGAAATGACTATAAGGCTACAGTGATTAGACTTCACGCTGTTGGAAAGGAGATGTAAAATGATTAAGCAATGCTTCAGGAAGACTGACCAGGTAGTGCTGTGACAGAGGCCTGGAGAAGGAAAAGGAGCGTGCCTGGAGTTTTGGAGCCCAGGAAGAAGGCTGCAGCAGTCAGCAGGTGTGGAGGGAGAGGGGCCTGGATCCAGGAGATGGCAGTGAGTACGAAAAGGAGGTATGAGTGAAGAGTCATTTCAGAGGAAACACCAAGAGGATATAGCAACCAACTCATACTAATATTAATAATAATAGCACTTGGGGCACCTGGGTGGCTCAGTCAGTTAAGCATATGACTTCAGCTCAGGCCATGACCTCATGGTTCATGGGCTTGAGCCCAGCATCAGGCTTTGCGCTGACAGCTGAGAGCCTGGAGCCTGCTTCAGATTCTGTGTCTTGCCCTGTTTCTCTGTGTCTCTCAAAAATGAATAAAAACATTAAAAATTAAAAAAATAATAATAATAGCTAACATTTATTCATTTGTTCATTTCCACAAATATTACTTAAGTGCCTTCTTTGTTTTCTTTTTAATTTTTTTTAATGTTTTATTTATTTCTGAGAGAGAGAGAGAGAGACAGCATGAGCAGGGGAGGGTCAGAGAGAGAGGGAGACACAGGATCTGAAACAGGCTCTGAGCTGGCTGTCAGCACAGAGCCCGATGCAGGGCTTGAACCCACGAACTGTGAGATCATGACCTGAGCCGAAGTCGGACGCTTACCCAACTGAGCCACCTGGGCGCCCCTTAAGTGCCTGCTTTGTACCAAGCACAGGTCTGGGTCTATAGCAATGAACATGACAGACAAGGCTGCTTCTATTATGGAACTTATATGCTGATGGAAGAGACATACAGCAAATAAACATACAACAAATAAATAAGTAGAGACACAAATGAAATGGAATTTCAGGTGAGCAATTTGTGCAATAAAGGCATATGAAAGAGGATTATGGTGCTAAAGTGAGGGATGAGGGGCTTAGGTGGAAATAGGTGTCCCTGAGTTTGAGACATGTGAATAGATGATGCCAGGGAATGAGAAAAACACTGTAGGCAGAGAAGGCAGGAAGCACAAAGGCCCTGAGGCAGCTGCATTCTCCCTGTGATCAGAACCACAGGGCCAGGATAAGTAGAGGAGACTAGGAGTGAGGCTGAGGGTCGGCAGGGGCTACACGGCGAAGGCTTGCAGGCCATGGTGAGGGCTTTACACTGTTTTCTAAGTGAGGTAGAGATTGAAACATTTTGAGAAAGAGAAGGGCATGATATGATTTACATTTTTTTACTTTATTTTTTTTAAGTTTATTTATTTTGAAAGAGACAGAGACAGTGAGAGTAGGGAAGGAACAGAGAGATGGGGAGAGAGAAAGAGAATGTCAAGAAAGTTCTGAGCTGCCAGTGCAGAGCCTGATGCAGAGCTCGAACCCACAAAACTGCGAGATCATGACCTGAGCTGAAACCAAGGGTTCAAAGCTTAACTGGCTGAGCCACCCAGCTGCCCTTGATTTTTAAAAATATCATTCTGAGTACTTGATGAGAGCTGACTATGCAGCAAGGGTACGAGGGGGAGATCGCCCAGGAAGTTGTTACAATAATCCGGGTGAGAGGTGTTGGTGGCTTGGGCTGGCCGGGAAGATGATGAGCAGCAGTAGGATTTGGGACATGTGGGACGGCAGAATGGACAGGACCTGGTGGCGGACTGCGGGGAGTATGTGGAATGTAAAGAAGGGGAAAAATCGAGGAAGAACCTTTGAGAGGATTTCTTGAAACATGTCTTGATGTAGGGATTATCCTGGATTATTTGATTTTCCTACAGCCCCATCATCTAATCCATTAATAAGTAGAGTAGCCTCTGCCTCCAAAACATATCCTGGATCTGTCTAGTGCTCAGCACCTTCCCCACAACCCCCCAGGTCTAAGCACCATCACTGCTTCCTTGGACTAGGTGTCCAAGATGTCTCTCAGCCTCCCTGCCCCTGCTCTTGCTCTTCCCCAAAAAGCAATTCTGTAGAGAATGTAGATTCCATTGGCCTCTGCTAAAACCTTTATTAATTCCTGAAATAAGAACTACTTAGAATAAAATCCAAATTTCTCAGCCCAGTTTACAAAATCTTACCTACTCTGGCCCCCATGGCTTTGCCAACTGCAGCTCACCACACCCCTCCCCTTTTCTTGTGTCTTCAAGGCCCCTCCTTCATATGATCCGGCTCTCGGCTTGTATGTTGCCTCCTCAGTCGGCCTTGCTGCTCACCCAAGTCACTGTTTACTTAGTGAGGTTTTTGTTTGGCTGGTTGGTTTTGGGTTTGAGTTTTTTTCAGTCATATTTACTTTGAAAGGAAGAGTCTTATTTCTCCCCCCTTGAATCTGAGCTGGGCTTCAGGACATGCTTGAGTAATCAAATGCGGCGGAAGTGACACTGTGGCACTCCTGAGGCCAGGCTCTTGCAGCATCTGCCTGGGCCTCCTGGAACACTCCCACTTGGAGCCCCCCTCCCCCCCCCCCCCCCCCCCCCCCCCCCCCCCCCCCCCCCCCCCCCCCCCCCCCCCCCCCCCCCCCCCCCCCCCCCCCCCCCCCGAGCTGCCCTGCAGGGAGCCTGGCTCCCTTGAGCCCCTCCACACTGGGCAGATCATGTGTAGGCACTTCAGGCAACAATCCCAGCCTTCAGGCCACAGTCACTGATATTCCCAAGTTTACAAACCTTAGTAAAACAGGAAAGAAGAAAGGGAAGGAGGGCGGCTGGAGGAAAGGAAAGCCACAGGATCTCTCCTTCACCTGCTCACTTTCATTTCTAATCTATCATTTCTAGGGCAGACGACTGCTATGGATTTAAAAATAATTATCTGATTTGTTGTCTTGGTTCCAACTTACCTTATTAATTTTAGTAGATTTTGGCCTTATGGTAGTTTTCTTAGTGAATCATATTGATGATGAAAATACAATTTTTGAGTTTTCCTGTAGTTTATTGATAATTTCCTTCTCATTTTATTAAATTTGTTAAAACTTGAAAAATAATATTGAATAACAGCAGTGCTGCTAAAGGTATCTATCCCAGTCTTAATTTGAGATTCCCTCATTTAATGTTTGCTACCTGCTTTAGGTAGATGGTCTTTACCAATTCTAAAGACTGTAGTTTTATTTTATTCCTTTTTCTATTATTTTTAAAAAGCTATGACTGGTCCTGAAATTAATCAAATGTCTTTTTAATATCTATTAATCATGTGGTTTTTGTTCTTTAATTTGTTAATGTAATGAATTATATTGATTGGTTTCTTAATATGGTACTATCCCTATATTCCAGAATAAATTCTATTTTACCATGACTATTTTTCTTTGATATGATATTTTATTTTGAAATTCTATACATCTGTTCATAAGCAAAGTAATTCTATGCTTTCCTATTTATGTTCTGTGGTTTTTTTTTTTAAAGATTTTTAGGGGCGCCTGGGTGGCTCAGTTGATTAAGCAACCGACTTCAGCTCAGGTCATGATCTCACTGTTTCTGGGTTCGAGCCCCATGTCAGGCTCTGTGCTGACAGCTCAAATCCTGGAACCTGCTTCGGATTCTGTGTCTTCCTCTCTGTCTTCCCCTCCCGTGCTCACACTCGGTTTCTCTCTCGCTCTCAAAACTAAAAATAAACATTAAAAAAATGTTTTTTAAAGATTTTTATATTAAGATAATGCTAAAGTCCCTGTGGTCTGGAATGGTTTAAATAAATATTGAGATAATCTATCCTTTTAAGATTAGATAGATTAGATAGAACTCAGCTGTAAAATCATCTTGGCTTGGTTGTTTTAAGTAAAGGGTCTTTAATTATTGTTCCCATCTTTATTGGTCTGTTCACATTTTATACTACTTCTTCAATCAGTTTTAGTAGATTGTTTTAAACAGAGAAATTATTAATTTCTCCTAGATTTTAAAATGTATTGTCTTACATTTCCACATACTATTTTTTTAAATTTCTACAATCTCTTCAGGATCTGTGATTCAATCTGCTTTCTCATTTCTCACATAGTATATTTTAGGTTTTTTTTAAATCCTCACTCAGACTTGACAAAAGATGATTTTATTGTTCTACCCAAAGAACCAACTTTGGTTTTATTTTTCCTTTCTACTGTTTTGTTCTGTTTTCCATTTTGCTTAGTTC